TTACTAAGGAACATCTTTGCTAGTAAGATTGTGAAGAGGCTGGACAATAGTACTAAAGCTTTAAATGAAGCATTAGTAGTAGTTTACAAACCTAAGGAATGCTTAGGCCTGTTTCAGGTTCTAAGATTATAACCAGTTCTAAACTGTAGTTACTTTTGCTAGATCTATACAGACCTCTCCTCTACCAATCACAAAGCTTAGATAATCTACTAACTCCTGTACAAAAGAGTACTTTACTTCTTAGAGGAACAGTTTATTATCTTAGAGCTATTATAGAACTACTTGGATTAGTTAGTAATAGTACTTAACTGTTTAGGTGAAGATCAGAATGTTATCCAGATACATACTAACATACTCTGAGTCAATCAGGTCTGTAAGAATGTGATTCATGAATGACTAGAATGTTGTAAGTAAGTTAGTTAGTCTGAAGAATATTATAGTTAGTTTGTACAATCTGTAATTAGTTTAGAATGTAGCCTTTTACTCATCTCTGTCTTAGATCTGAATATTATTATATCCCTATTAAATGTCCAACTTAGTGAAAACCCTGAATGTATGTGTCTTATTAATGAGCTCCTGAATCAGAGAGAGTAAGTACTTGTTTTTGACAGTACTCTTATTAAGACAATAATAATTCTAAACTAGACAGAGTTTCCTATCTTTCTTTTTAACAAAGAAGAAAGGGGAGACTATAGAGGACTTTAAGGGTTGGATTCAGCTGTTCTAAAGATTTTCCTGAAGGAACTCATCAAGCACCTCCTACTTGTCTCTGTTAAGTAGGTAGACCTTATAATCCTTAGGTTGGAAACCCTTAGTTAATTTAATTATATAGTCCTAGAGACAGTGTTTAGAAAGCTAGTTGAATTCCTCTTTACTAAAGACTTTAGAGAACTCTCAGACAAAATCTGGCAGGCTAGGTCTATGTGTGTTCCTGAGTAGAGTTGTTCTGAGAGGGTTCTAGACTAGTTCTAACTTAAACATCCTTCAGATTAACTCTATTCTACCTTGACTAGAATATGTATCTACATATCTATCCTAGTTAAAGAAGAACAACTAGTCACCTTTATTAGAACTGTTAGTAACATTAGAAGCATTTGTATCTACTTAGAACAGTAGTGTAAGATAGTTATAAGACTTAGGACACTAATTAAACACAAGTGTTTACTCTAACTAGTTAATAGTAGGGTTGTGAGTCTTAAGCTATTTGAATCTAATAAAAATGTCTGTCTTTCTAAGGTTAGTGACTCTAAACTTAATACTTTCCTTATAATCCTGAATAGTCATCTGTAGTTAGACAAACTTAGTAATCTGACTATTCTGATTTAGAGTTCTGTCTATATTATATACTAGGATTGGAAGTAGAATGTATTAAGTAGAGAGGTAGTGTTCCTATATAAAGACTTTATTAATATACAAACTAGTGTATCTACTATCTACTAGAGTTATTGTTCAGATCTGGGGGGATTCTAAGAAGAGAGTTAAGAGGACAAGGACTTAGAGCTAGTGTTTAGAATGTTCTCAGATAAACTACTACTTGTTCTGAAGGGAACATACAGCTTGTACAGTCTTGTTATCTAAGAGGGTAAGTATATGTACTAACATTTCCTTATTAACCTCTCTCTTTTAATAAGGACAGACTTATGTTCTTAGCTGTAAACTCAGTTAAGGTTATTCCTGCTTAATACTATAAACAAACTACTGAGTAGTAAACAGGGCTGAGTAGTGTTCTGAACATTCTAAGATTTTAGAACACAGAAGTAGTAGGTTAGATTGTGTAGATTTAGACTCAGATAAAGTGCAAAGAGAAGAATCAAAAGAATCAGAAGAAATAGGAGAACTATCTACTTTTGTTTTCAACTTTTTTCTTTCTAATAAATAATTTTGTTAATTTACTTTTTCTACTTTTTCTACTTTTCTTACTTTATTTACTTCTAATCCTACAGTGTCTATTAAATCAAAAGTAGCTATTAAAAAATCTGAGTCATAGCCCTTCAGTACTATATTTACTGTTGAGTCTCTACAAAATCCTAGAGTATATAGTTAGAGTCTAAGAGTTCTAAAGTGACTTCTAGATTTGTAGAGAAGGCTTCTTACTACAAATCCTGCTCATTACTCATTATTACTCTAATAACCTAACAGATATACTATTACTTCTACAGACAGTCCTTAATCTAGTGCCCTGACTTTCTATAGACAAAGTATGCTTCTTACTTTTAGGCTTCTCTAATGTCTATCAGAACAGATTGATTGTAAATTACAGACAGATTAATCTGAGAGTTTAGAACTGTTAGAGCTAAATGTATGTATAAGCATTCTGTACAGACTTAATACATCTGAGCTACAGCTTGGTTGAAGGAAATAGTGTGTGTCTTCTACTCAGTGTAAGTAACTAGTTCTAGTATCATTCTAAGAATCTTATTAACTAGTTCTAGGTAAAGAGCTTTTTCAAGTATTCTAATAAGA